TATTGTGACAACATTCGTTCAGCTCTGCTTTACGGTTGTGAGATCCTGAACTTGCGGGTACAAGACATCCGTCGTTAAGCAATGTTTGACAATCGATGCTTGCGTAGTCTGACCCAAGTGGGATGGAGTGAGCGGGTTAGTTCGGGTGTTTGGGAGTGCATCGAACAAAACTTCGTTATCGCACCGAATCCAGCTCAATAGGCTCGGTTGCTTAGGTCATCTTTTGCGTACGTCCGACGATCACCTACCGCAGCGCGTCTTATTCGCAGTATCTGTTGCAGACTGGAGAAAGCCACGTGGTCAGCAGATGACGTGGAGACGAGGCATGAAGAAATGCATGGAGTGATTAGGTAGAGTAGGTGCCTCTCGGCTTCCGGGTTAGGGCACAAAAGACTGCGTAACTGGCTGGTTGGCCACGCTGTAAGTCATGACAACAAACCGACAGCAGTGGCGATCTTGCTGTCATTTATCAGATCAGAATGCTTGAAACAGTGTGTGTGCATATTTGGATTGTGCTCTCTGTGTTGACTATAGATGTTCGCTTTCTTTTCCCGTCCCTTGAAATACGCTCAATCCTTGTTACACTCACACACTCTCACTTATTTTGTGTGCATTATGAGTTTGGCAACGATCAGTGAAGTTCGCTTTAGTGTATTACGCTGTACAATGATGGCACCACAGTGATTCTTTAGATGGGAGCCAATCAGACAGATATACCTGCTGACGAACATGCAACGAAATAGTTGGTTTTGTATAGCGCACCCTTCGGAGAGACAATCAAACGTGCAGCATATATCAGGTAACCCATGAACCATTGTACTGCTGAAAGGTGCAGGGAAAGGTAACCTAGATATCCCAGAAATCAGCTTATTTCTTGACAGACAGCCGTGCCAAGGTTAATAGGTGAGTATCAGGAACCAGTCCATTTCGGGAGGCTTGCAGAGTAAGCTTAACGAGATTGTGCGGTGAGATTTATAACTTTGGTGGCAAGATAGGGAAATCTCTAATGGTTGGCTAGTCGGGCAACTTTCTTCTCTGTGTGTGTGTGCCTAACTCACAGCAGTCATCAAAACTCCACCACTTCAGGACTCAATATCTTATCCAGTCGGTTTCACTTATACACATGTTGGACAAACATAGCGGTATACTATACGGAATTCTGAACCTATAGTACGTATACTGCACGATCAAACTGAGGGGACTATGAGTGAGCTGGTGTTGACAACAGAATCAATATACCTTTATGATTGTCTGACGTTCAAAACCAACGCAACGCGTACTGCATTTTAATTTCTGAGGTGCAGCTGAACACGTACGGTTGGAAAAGACTCAGATTTGCGTCGGAAGTAAGATAAACCAGATGATCAAGGAGTAGTTTAGATACTGAGCTATTGGCAAAATGCATTCCTTCAATGTCTTAATTGAAATAAAACATTTAAGGGAAATTAGACAAACTTAAGAGTGAAGTTTCAGTGTTGGTGCGTGTATGGCGACAAGAACAGAAAAGCATCCCTAAAAACGAGAACAATCAAACCATTCAACGAAAATGTACAGACTATCAGGAGATGAAAACGCACTGGGCAAATATTAACTAACACCTTACTATACTAGAACTAAATTGATCAGATAAGCACAAATAAGAGACCGGCTCTAAACAGAAATCATTCCAAAACAAAGGCACTACCGTAAGTAGGAAAACAACTAAGAACTGAACAAAATATCTTACTTTTTGGTTTCTTCCGGAATGCACATCGTGCGCGAATGTGGCGGTGCTAGTTCGAGCAGCAAACGCTGTGGCTGCTGCTACTGCGGCCACCGCCGCCGCCGAAACCGCGGGTAAATTTGTTGCCGCTGCAAGCGCTGCCGACTGCTGTGTACTTCCTGCAAGATCAGTTTGCGATGCAAACTGCGCACAACAGGTGGGAACCGTCACGCTACGGGCAGGATCATTCGCGGATGTAGCCTGGGTGGCCGTCATTATCGGGAGATGTTGCGCTATATACCCAGCAGCAGCCGCTGCTGCTAGAGCAGCTGTTGTTGAAGAAACTGATGTGGTAGTTGGAGTATCATTAGAAATTTTGTCTGTCAGTTGAGTACTAGTGAGTACGGTCACCGATGGATTTTCAATTACGGAAGGTTGGTTTATATGTAGAAGGTTGTAGGACGGATAGCAGGTAGCAGAAACATTCGTTAGCGTGCTATTACTTGTGATGACCGTTTGTGGCTGGGCAGTACTACACACAACTCCGGGATGAGAAGGCAGTAAAGGCCCATGGTTATTAGTATCACATGCAAAGGACGGTATGGGAATGGTGAGTAAGGTAGGTGTAGAAGACACGTTTGTACCTGTTGATAACAGATGATGTTGGAGGGGTGGTTGTGCGTTGGAAACCCAATGGTATGCTGTCTGGGAAGTGGCGACAGCAGTAGGATGTTGAATTACTCGGGGGTGTTGTCCAGGATCAGCAACCACTGCAAGTACCGAAGAGCAAGGAACTGCGTGGTTGGTGCTGGAAACGGACACCAAAGGGGTAAGAGTACCGAGATTAGACGGGTGGGCATAAAGGGTATGTTGTATATTCGAGGATGGTATGGTCAAGCGGTCAACAACATTCATAATTGGTGTGCCCTGTGTTGCCGTTAACGTAGCATCGTGGGCTGAAACAACAACTCCGTTGATTGTAGCAGGTTGAGGTATACGTAAATGACTAGCGGAAGAAAGTGCCAGAATACTCTGATGTACGGATGGCGTTTCCATACTCATCGACGTGGGCAGAGCCGACGCAAGTGAGGCAGAAACAGATGGGGGAAGGCTTGTGGTGCACAGTGTCGGTTTTACTTCAATCAAACTACGCGTGTCCGCAATGTTTTCACAGCTCCGAAACTTTGCTGGACTGTCCAAAGAGTGGGTTTGGAGCCTTTGGTCACCAACGTGGCGGTACTTGCACGCAGAACCTCGGGAACAGAGACCATTGATATAATCCTGAAAAACAAAAGATATGACTCGATTGCAACTTCCGACCGTGAAACTTCAACATACAATGTAGTGCAAGAAGAGTAAATAGACTGGAAAACTATTGAATCCTCAGTTAACAAAATATGACACAAGTGTAACGAGAAAACTTCCTGGTTTAAGAGTAAGGGCAATAAGGAAACAACAAGAGGAATAATCTTAGCTGATAGACGGGATTATCACAGCTGTTTTATGTATTTTGAGTACACCAGTTAGTAGCGAAGTATTACTAATTTCCTTCGCTTTTTTAACATTTGTTCACTATTTGGAAAACATATGCAATATGAGTTGCAGGTACTCCACTTACGTTTTCGCAACATTTCGAATAGCATCACACAGATTTAGGCCCAAGGCCCTCAAACCTTATTGGCGCTCATTAGGACGGTAGGAAAAAGGATGCTATCCTCTTCGACTTTGAACACGGAACGGTATAAATCCTACGGAGCACTAAACAGTTATAACTGTTAGTTGCGAGCAACACTCGATGGGCAAATCAGTGGACCAGTATAATGATAATGCATTAAATGCAGTGCACTGTCACAGTACGATGCAGCTGAGCACTTCTTTATTCTCCAACGTAGGCCAGTCTTAATTTATGGTGCAGAGACTTGGACATTGCAGGAACAAGATAAAAATAGACTGTCGGTGTTTGAACACCGCTGTCCAAGACGCATTGCCCGAGTCAGGTGGGGAAACCGGACAAGCAAAACTGAGATCAGGTGCAGAGCATTAATTACTCGCGGTCGTCCACCAGAACAAGTGGTCGACCTCTATAAACTGCGGAAGTTGGGACGTCACCAACTAGGATATCGCGGCGCGAGATTTTTGTCGAGGTAGGTAGTGGGAGGAAAAGGTCAAGGGCGGTCAAAATAAGAGCTGGCATCAGGGTCTGAGTTGGCTGAGTGTCGTAAACAATGGTGTTCGTGCATCTTCTCCATTTCTTCGCAATGCTAGTCCACTGAACTTCCCCATTTTCTCTTCAACTCTACATTCCACCTTCCTGTCTCCCTCCTACTATTCATCCAAATGGGCAGCCAAAAACAGCAACCAAAACCGGCGCACGAAATTGCAAGGTTAATGGATGTACAAACTGAAACCAGGACATTGGGTCACACAGGTACCGTTAAGCTCCTCGGATGGGGACCCCGAAATCATGGTAACCGGTGGTCAGAGACACTGAAAGATATGGCTGTGTAGCAAACAGTGGTGCNAATCCAAACCGATGCATGAAAACGCATGGTTAATGGTTGTAAAACCTGGAACTAAAAAAGCAGAAAATGCCCACGCAGTCTTTGTATGATCGCGAACTCCTTCCTGAAAGTTGACTGTACACTTGTATATGCAGTAAAAAAGAGGTAAAAACTGAAACTGAAACTACTCTCCAACGTTTTACGCAAATACGGGAATTTTTCGGCCCCTGGAACAAGTTATGCCCCAATACGATGCTGGACTGAACCATATGCTGTTTCCTTTTTAATATCTTCAGGCTCTGCTAACAAGAATTGCTTTTAAGCAGCCCTTACTGGTACAATCTCGTACTCAGTCCCCCCCCCCCTCCAAAATTGCGATCACGCTGAACGTCTTTTAGAGAACCTGCTTGGGATATCCTACCTATAGCGGAGAATTTTTCACGAGGCTGCCAGGATCAGAACTGAATCTACAGAGCTATAACTACATTGACGAGTCACCGAAAACTAGATGATCTAAGGGAATTCAAGAAGCTTGATTCCAAACCATCCATGGTCTGTTGTCTGCATAAGAAGTCTGAACACAACTAGATTGGGCAACGAGGAGTATGAAGCACTCTGTGCGCATTTGATCTAACCAGCTGGACTTATCAAGGAAAACAGTTGACCAAGCGGGTCCGGAAGCTTGCCTCAATTAGTTAACTCACTTTGAATCAATTATCTCGAATTTAAAATTCCCATTCATTGACAGTGTTTCAGTTTAAATAACCATTAACCATTCATTTTTGTGCTGAAGTTTTGGATGTTGTCTTTTGGTTGTTCGTTTGGATGAAGGGGTAGAAGAAAGATTGGAATGTTGAATGTAGTGTCGACGTGAAAATAGAGAATTCATAAAGACTAAGGTTGCGAGCACAATCAGATGCAAGAGTGCCACTGTTTACGACACCCAATCGTATCACTCAGTGCCTATGGCCATCGATTACAATGATCCCAATGTCCCATCCAAGAAGCCCAACGCGATTTATGTGAGAAAGTCTCCCGCTGAGGTCAGGAGAACGCAGGGTGGTTAATGAAATAGGGTCCTGTATGTGTCTAGCATCCACCCATTGGCACTCGAAGCACGATTGGACTTGAGGCAGTGAAATGTCACTCTGTGTAGCTCGCATGGTGAGGGAGGCACGCAAGCCTTTACATCACGTCAAAGCTATCAACGGAAAGCTGCGGTCGCTCGCTTCTAAAGAAATATGAAAAGGGATGTACCTCTGCATCTTTATATTACCTGAGAATTATACCAAATATTTCTTGAAGTTTATGAGAAGTGATTCATTGATCCTGACAGTTAGCCCACAGCGAATTTCAAGAGAAATTACGACCGAATAATCATGAGGACATTAATGGGAACACCAATATTAATCTTCAATTGAAACTGATTTCTAATAAAATGCCTGCATGATAAAGAAATACTTGACACGACTAAACTTTGTGAACCGAGCCCGGCAGTGAACGGAGACGTACCAACACGAAACTGAACAAACAATAAGAAACGATGATATTCATGCGGGTAACAGAGGGTAGCAGTTCCATCAATGCCATCACGGCCGTAATTACCTTGCTTATAATCACCACCATACAGTGAAGCGCAATTTGTTGATCAATGCCAAGCTTACAATATTGACAAATTAAATACGAATGGATAAGGTGAATAGGGAGCAGGGTTATATTGAAGAAAAGAAAGTGAACCCCTATGGTGCATACAGAGCAAATAGTGAATTGATTCCATTTGACCTCATGAGATAGGACAACAAAAACGCCACTGCTATCGATTCACTATCACGTTCTTCAGTATTACCAACAAACCAGCTACAGAATATTTTTAATTCCAATCTGGAAGATGGGAGACATCCACTTTCCCTAATCATTAAATGCATTTCTTCATGACTAATCTGCACGTCATCCGTTGGTCTCATTGTGATTTTCCTAGGCCTCAACCTGAAAAGACATGGTGGGGGAGACCACCGTTAAGCATGACTAACATGCACCCTAAGAGAGAAGCCCGAATTAGATGTGACAACAAATATCCCATCGAAGCACATCCGGATACAAGATGACTTATTTCGGTGCTGTTTATCGGTTCGCTTCGTTCTACTCGCGTAGTGCAACGCTAATCCTGATGGTATACATTTATCACCGGCTTGCGAGCAAGCTTGGTGCCAACGCAACAACAATTATAACAGAAAATGGGGGTCGGGATACAAAGCAGTGTAAAAAAGGGGTCAGACAGTTAAGCCGAATAACAAGAACAATTTTTGTGTTAGTTTCACCATACACTTTTTGATGTGCTTTTGTGTTATTTTATCGTCGAAGACTTCCAGTTGATGGGTGTCTTACACAAGAAAAATCATGGTGTCACAGCAAGAGAGGAAATGTCATACTTACACCACGATGCACTTTGAGCCTCGAATGTACGTGCGGTTACCTGATTAAGTAACGGCCATTAGTGACGTAAACAAACAGGTGAGAAAATTAAACGGCTACAGTCAACTCCTAATCAACCGGCGTTAAAGTAGAGGTAGTCGACAGAGTGCCTTGCATCAGCACTCGTAAGTCTGTCAAGTGTGCTTTGAACATCCTAAACATATACGAACAGATAGATGTCATCAGTGTATTTATCATCATTATCATCGTACAGTGAGATACAGTGAAGCGAAATTCACTGATCGCTGCCAAGCTCACAATGTACACAAATCAAGTGATAAAGCACAAGATGGAAAGAGATTG